AGAAGTTAGACTCAAGGAAGCACAGACCAAGGCACATCATAATTACATTACCCAAAGTTAAAGGTAAGGAGAGAATCTTAAAAGCAGGAAGAGAAAAGGAGACAGTTATCTACAAAGGAGTTCCCATAAGACTATCAGCTGATTTCTCAAAAGAGACCTTACAGGCAAGAAGGAGCTGGAAAGAAGTATTCAAAGTCATGAAATCCAAAAAACTACATCCAAGATTGCTCTATCCAGCAAAGCTTTCATTTAGAATGGAAGGACAGATAAAGTGCTTCCCAGATAAGGTCAAGTTAAAGGAGTTCATCATCATCAAGCCATTGTTATATGAACTGTTAAAGGGACTTATCTAAGAAAAAGAAGGTCAAAACTATGAACAGTAAAATGACAACAAACTCACAACTATCAACAACTGAACCTTAAAAAACAAAGACAACAAAAACTAAACAAACAACTAGAACAGGAACAGAATCATAGAAATGAAGATCACATGGTGAGTTATCAGTGGGGAGGGGGAGGAAGGAAAATGAGGAAAAAGGTACAGGGAATAAAGAGGCATAATTTGTTGGTACAAAATAAACAGAAGAGATTAAGAATAGTATACGAAATGGAGGAGCCCAAGAACTTATAGGTATGAGCCATGGACATGAACTAAGGTGGGTGGAATGCTGGAGGGAGTAGCGGTGCAGAGCGAAGGAGAATACAGGGGAGAAAAAATGGGACAACTGTAATAGCATAATCAATAAAATATACTTTAAAAAGAATATCAAGAATAACTACCATGTTCAAATTACTAACTTGTGTCCTAAAAATTGGCATTCTTTTGATCATGGTTAGAGGTAAGATAATCATTTCAATGACTGTTACTTTTACTTTGTACTTTTTTCTTTTCATTGCTCTTAAAACCAGGGGGAAAAAACCCAAAAAACAAAAATAATAGAATGTTCTAATAGCACTTTAATGTCTTTCAAACTATGTTACCACAAATCATGCAGGGATTTTCTATTAGAATTACTTGAAAAAATAATGGAAATTGAGACCATATTATGTTTCCCTCAGGAAAAGGGACCCGTGAAATAAGACAAGTTAGTGCACATACATCTGGGCCAGGTGTTGTTTCTTAACCAATGACTTTAGGATGTGTTTAAAGGAGATGAAGCTAGACAACTCAAACCAAGAAAGATTAGAGGCTCATAGTTATAATCTAACAATGAGATGAAGTTTTAATAATTACTGGCCCCTTTGTTCTCAAGTTGCATATTATTTAGTGAGTTTCATCTGAATAAATATGTTTATGCAGTATTGTGGATAGGAGGATGAGGAATCAGTTTCCATAGCTCTACACCCTCAGCAGAAAGAGTCCTGCTTATCTGCTCCTGAGACTGGCTCAATATAATGTTAGCACTTAAGTTGTATACCAAAAGGTCCACTTCAATAACTTCTACACCAACAAAGAAAAAGCTGCCCTTGTTTAAATGAAAAATTCAAGATCACTAGCATGGTCTGTGTCAGGGTACAGATGAACTATACAAGTCTCATGTTTCTGACCCTTGTCCTCAAGTCCCAAAACTGGAATAAAACCAGATAAATGCCTGAGGAACCACTTCACACCCCAAACACGTGCAAACTTTGTTTAACAGAACACTATTGCCAAAATGGAGTTGGCAGAAGTTTGGAGCCAAGGCCCCCAGGCTGCATGGTTTGCTGGCACCAGACAGCTTAAAAAATCTTAACATAATACTGCTGAGCTTGAATTCTATCAATTTGCTTGAGACTTCTTCCCCAAATATGACTTGAGAAAGATGAAAGCTGCTATCAAGAAAGACTTTAATAAGACTTATCCTCTTATCCAGAAATAATTTGATTTCCCACTCCTGACAGTCATACCTCTATATTCCTTGATGGTTATGTTTATGCTGTGAATCTAATGCAGTCTATTTTGTAATGCATGTAAATTGAATTTTGTTTGGTTGCTTCGGTAAAGAGGTACAGGAGAACTAAATTAATTATGCTAAAGTTCTAGTTAGAAAGTTTTTGCTCCAAATAACACCCATATATCACAATTTATTACCCTCAGAATGTGAGAGAAATTAAGCTATCAAATATCTGTAAATTGCTATTATTTTACATTTGGTTTAGCTTGTGTTCTCACTGCTGTGAATTTCAGTGATCCTTTACTTTGTATACGAACAATTTAGGAAGTGAGAAGAGAATCCAGGAAGAGCTCTCTTCCACAGGTTCAACAATAAGGTCCTGTTTGGGATCTTCATAAGCTTTATGCAATTTAATGAGGAAAACTGCACCTAAATTTTTAAATTGTAGTTAAAATATGAGCAACTATACAACTAGCAACTTTAGAGTTGTAAATGCTTGATAAGTATGCGGTATAGAGAAACTATACTTGCTTTGGAAGGAAATCTTGTGCTGCTTCAATGACAGATTAGGATTACAGTAAAAAAAATGCTTGCTTCTCATACAGTTTAAAAAGGGGGTTTGGAGAAACTTTCTGCTTTTTCCTTAATATGTCCATGCATTTAAATAATTACTCTGAAAGCTTTTCTATTTTTCCTTTTCTAGAACCTCCTAAGTATTCCAATTTTCAGCTATGATTTCCTATTTTCACTGGATTCTAATTTCCACAATATAGTTGGAAGCATTTAGGACAAAACATTCTTTAGGGTATCAAGTTGTAGAAGACTGTAGTATAAAACATATTTATAAAGTAGTGCTGCCACCTAAAGATGAGGTGAATAAAGAAGCAATTCAAATGAAATGACCCATTCTTAAACCTGTGTCAAACATTTTCTCACGTCTAACTAGGGATTAATAAAAAATTTTGTTAGTATGGAAATTGAATTGTTTTGCAATTCAATTGTTTGAATTGTAGTGCTGAGCTGCAATTTTCAATGGTAGAAAATTTCAAACCTTTTAGAGTACTCTATGATATCTAAAGTCAGGAATATCTCCCCATTTTTTTCCCTCAGACATTAGGCACTGCCTACCATGGCAGATAGTGCGGGGGGGGGGGGGAGGGCATCGATAGATACCTGGAAGTAAACATTTGAGGGATTTCTGGTTTAGTGGATAAAGTAGGTGATAGTACACATAGGGTGTTTCCCCTCTACCAGTGACAGACTGCTTGCACCTGAATTAAGTTGCATTTTTGTAACTCAATTTTCTTATCTATAAAATGGGGTTAATGTCACTTTGTTCCTACTTGCCTCGCAGGTTAACTAGATAAGCTTTTGGAAAAGGTCCTATCATAAGTGAGTTTAAAAGTCTACTATTGCCTAATAGTGTATCTTAGGGTGTATTGCAAAGTCACTTGAAATACACTAAATTAAATGACAGTGACTAAGTTTTCCTAAATCTCAGATTGACTTCTCTGAGATTCCATTTAGTTTGCAGTCGATAGTTTTTAACTGATCCTCCTCTATATATTCAGTGTTGCAGAATGGAGATGTGACAGTGTACAAAGCGATGGAAAAAGTTGCCATGCATCAAAAACCTTGTCTTAAGAACATTTTATAGTTCTGCATTTCGCATAGTAACTTATGAAAATTAAGTCTCCCCTTTTACTTTCTCCTTCTTAGCCCAAGGACGCATAAATAATATTTATCAGAGTTTTGTCCTTAGTCACAGTCCCTCAAAGGGGCCCAGTTTCACCTACACTGCGTGGGAGGCTGGGCAGCAACCCCACGCTTCCTGTCAAGGATTCCTGAGGCAAGAGCCTGAATGTGGTTTAGCCACTTTCTTCTTTATGCTAATTTTGTTTTTCTAGCTCCTCGCGGCAGGAGTCTGAAGGCCAAGGTGAGACCCTGTCAGGAGATAAAAGGCCCTTTGCCTCCTGAAAGGGGGGGGGGGCGCGGAACAAGGGCCAGAGAGGGGCGTGGGGGGGAGGTGACGCAGTGGTAGCGGCACCAACTACGACGCCAAGGGCCCAAATCTGGAACTGACGCAGGCCCTATAGGGCTGTATTACTGCTTGAGCCTGGCTTCGGCCTTCAAAGCCCAAGAAGAGACTTGTCCTCCAGAGTCCGCTACCTGGGGCGGGTGGAAGGAGTGCGGGCAAAGAGGCCGCAAGCAGCCCCTTGCTCAGACGCGCCTCGAGGCCTGGGCCGCCGACTGTTGACGAGCCAACGGTGGCGAGGGCGCGCGCACGCGCGGATGGGGGCGGAGGGAGCGCGCGCGGCGGCCGCCGCGGCAACTAACACCGAGGGACGCGAGGGCGGAGGGCGCGAGCCACGGAAGGCGGGGGCTGCGGAGGGAGGGGGATGGTGGGTAGCGCGGAGCGCGCGCTGACGTCGCCCGGAGTCACGCACGGAGCGCCGGGTTACGCGCCGACGTCTGGCTGCCACGACTTGCCGTCTGCGGCGGCGGCGGCGGCGAGCGGATCCCGCAGGGGAAGGAGGAGGAGGAGGAGGGAGAGCAAAGGGGGCTGTGAGTGAGCGGCAGAAGCGGGGTGTGAGCGTGGCTTGCTCGCGGGAGGGAGAACGAGCGCGAGCCGAGCCAGCCATCCGAGCCGCCTCCTCCTCCTCCCCTCGGCGTCCCGCCCCCGCCTGCCGGCCCGCCCTCCTCCCTCCTCGGCTAGCAGAGCTTGAGTGAGGCGCAGCTCGACTCGCGCCGCTGTCCAGGACAGGTGTGTGCGCGCGCGCGCGCGCCCTCCTCCTTCTCTGCCCCCCCCTTCCTCGCGCCTGCCTAGCGCGCGCCCTCCCTCACCTGCGGCAGGACAGCGCCCGCCCGCCCGGGTAAGCCCCTCGCGACCTTTCCTGTTGCCACTGCCACAGCTCGAGGTGCTGCCCACCCCGTCCTCTAATCGCCCTCTTACGCCCCAGGAATAATTACTGTACCATTGTAGATATCCCCGCACCTTCCCTCCGGGGACCCTGGCAGTGCAGCAACGCCCCCCCCAACACCGTAGCGCACGAACTCCCTCCCTCCCTCCTACCTCCAAAAAAGAACAAAATCACACGCCCCTTAAAAGAAAGAAGACAATCCTACCTCCGCGGGCGCTGGAGACCACCAATGGTGCCGTTTGCTTAGCAATCCCTAAGCCCCATTTTCCCTGGCCACCTTCGCCCGGGGCCTGGGACAGTGCGCCAAGCGTGGCCGACACTCCCTGCACAGCAAACCTGGCAGGAGGGGAGAAGAAGGAGGGTTCTAAGCTCCACTAGCAACCCCTCCTCTCCTGAGTTCAACCTCCCCTCCCCCCCCCGCGATGTATACACCCGCCCAGGATGCATTGTAAAAATTGAAAATAATACATTGATGCTGACATCGCAGATGAAGCCAGGCCCAAGGATGGGTGGCGCGGGCAAGGCATATCTGCTGCCCCACAGAGCTGGGTCAGCTCAACAGCCTCCTCTGCCCTAGTCCGGGACCAAAAGGAAGGGTTGTGGAGCTGCAGGGGCTTTGAGCGACAATGGATGCCAGAGACGGCAGAGATGTCTGTAGGGGAAGGGCCCGCCGCCGCCCCCCAAACATATCTGCCTTGAGCCTGAACTTGGTTAGAAAAAGGCCCAAGAACCCAACTGGGGCAACTTTCTTTGGTTCGTTGTTGTCTACCCCCAAGTAAATGCCACCTTCTTTTCGCTGTCTCTGCGGACCTTCTTGAGGGTTCTAATTCGTTCTTATCTGGACCGTTTACGTTTCTGTCGGATTAGGTAGGCGCTTTGGGCAGCTTTTTGCATCGGTGTCTATGTTTGTGTCCAGTGTCCTTGGAAGGGAGGTCCCAGTGTATTACAATAGGCAGAATTTGGCTTGACACCTTTTGGTAGACTATGAGAGAAAAAAAGGAATTTTTTATTATTTTAAGACCCCCCCACCCCGAGTTTTCCCTTCCCAAACTGACGTTTGCGAATTGCGGCTTTGAAAATTGGAATGTTGGCTAGTGTGTGGAGAGTTGCTGATTTCATTCCTTCGAGTACTAGTAAAACCATTTAAGTATCAGCCGGAAGAGAGGGAGCTATTGACATTTGCTCCGCTTGTGTTTGGACCTTTTGGCTACAAAAAATGTCGGGTTTTCTAAAAAATTTTATAGACTCTGGAGTATATGATACGTTTATTTAACTCTTTTGGAAATGCTTAAAATGGAAACATTTTGTGAAGTGCGAGGATTGTATCACCTGGATTGTTCTCTTCACATTTTGAATGTTTAATTCATATCTTTAACCCTAAATATTAAAATAGCATTGAAGAGACATAATTTTAAAGTTCAGGTGAGCTATAGAAAGGGGATACACATTTTTAAAAATGACTGGGGAAATACTGTTACCATTAGTCTTTGTTGTCGTTAAACGATAACATCTACTTGAGAGTTTCCCTTAATTTTTCTGGTAGATAGCAATGAGAAGTGGATAATTCCTCCACTTTGAACACTTTTAGTAAAACATTGCAGTTAGTTTTAATGATTTAGGTACTGAAGGTAATTGTCTGGTTTAAAACAGGCATTTAACCTGAGCAGCACGTAAACACAAATTTTAATATTCTTGTTCTTTTTATTTTGGAAATCTGTGATTCTGTGAAATATTAATCAGCATATTGTTTCTACTGGAAACTGTATTCAAAAAGGGTTTATTACCCAGAAGTAGATTCCTTCTTTCCAAGTTGATTTTATAAATGTGTGTTAATTTTTACTTTTAAAAACCAGAGCTGAATTAGGTTTTTTCAGAACCCGTAGCTCAGGCTGAAGAAAATTGAGGCTTTTTTCCCTTCTTGTCTACCTAATGTCTGTTTCATTTTCAATCAAGTTTTTGTTGGTAAGAGTTTGTTAAAGACATCGAGATAATAGGATTAAAAATAAAGCAATGTATTCTTTTCAAAATATGTGTGTAGTATTAATAAAAGCACAAGAAATATAGAGACATCATTTTTTTAAATGTAAGCAAACTGAGAAAGGGAATATTTTATTTTTTATCAATATGGAGATTTTGCTGCATAATAATATATTTCGTTTTCCCTTTTTCCTTCTTACATTGTATTGAAATTATAAATTTAATTTTACAACTATTTGTTTTAAAATTACATATTCAAACAGCTAGACACTAAAATTGGCTTTTCATTTACCAAGGTAGTATATTGTTTAAGTAGTTAACAAATGGTTAGGCATAATTTAAATCTACAAATTTTCTAATGGACTTTCAATGTTAGGATGCAAATCTAACTTTGAAATTATATTTAAGGATCTAAACTTTTTGTTTTAAGACTTTCTCTGAGTCAATATTCATTTTTCCCAGGCTGCCTCTTTTAAGGCTACTCTATTCTGTAACCTAAGGAAAGCTACTTTTCACCACCTCCCGCCCAATCTAACCAAAAGCCCAGATTTACAGGCTTATCCTGAAATTAAGTCTTATTTGGGTAGTGAAAAATACACTAAATATCCAATTTATCATTGAATTAGTTTGGAAAAGACATCATTACTCTTGTTTGCTTGTTAGATACATTTAAAAAGTAGATAAGAGTCTAGTTTATAACAGCAGAAAATTTTTACATATATAATAAATATCATTAAATAAATTAGTATGTATTTTTGCGGAGAGATCCAGGTCTCCGTTGTTTGATTTGAGCGTAAAATTCCCAGTTTAAGTGAGGAAATGATATTTAACCTGTGTTTTGTCTAGAAACTTCATTTGCCTCTGTACTGGGCAACTAAGAACTCGGTTCCTGGGGACACTTTATCAGAAAATCAGAGCATTCTCAAACTAAAACCACGTCAGAACCTCTGGACATGATCATTTGGGACAGAGGGCAAGAAATTTAGACTCCAAAGGTGGTCCAAGAAGGCTGGCAGTTTAAAGCCGTAGTTTGTTGTTTGTCATGGGGAAGAGATCATTATTAGCATGAAAGAATGGCCAGACCGGCAGGCTCGTGCCCACTTTTTGCAGTCCCACTGGCCTTATTGCTTTGCCCTCTCCCGGGGCGGGGCGGGGGGGGGCAAAGTCTTGATACAGCGCAAGATAAACCCTTGAGGAAGAGCAGCGGCTCTTCTAGATCGGACTTCATCAAATCTTAGCTTCAGCCTATAAGTGGAACCGCAATGCCCTGCAGGATTCTGTGCGGAGACCTTGCCACTACGCCTATGCGTCCCCGTTTGGGGCCGGAGTCTATCCAGGGTCCTGATCGCTACTATGGGAGCCTGAAGGAGCTTTTTTACACGTGTATTTATTTATTTTTGCGTGGCGTGAAGTGCGCTAACAGTTTTCTGTGTCCCCTTCCTGATGGGAGGGACTGCAGGAAAAATCAGCACTGAAGGGGTACTACGTGCCCCTCAAACTAAGGGGAAATTCTTTAGTTAGAGAATGCCTCTCAAACTAAGGAGAAATGCTTTATGGTGCCCAATGTCTGGATTTCTACGTCTTAGTGGGCCTCCCCATTAGGGAGTTGTTTTGATGACCACTGGACAGGTGGGTTATAATAGAGCTGACTTACAGGACTACTCCAGCTTACATTTTGATAGCCAGGTTGCTTTGCCTTGTTTCTTGCTCTTTAACAGGAGTAGTAAACGTCAGCCCAAAGCTGAAGTAGCTAATGCTGGTTAGAATGGACCCTTGCTAAGAGTAAAAGGAAGCTGTGAATACATAGCAGGCAGGTTTGTCCAGGAAGTGAAGGGAAATATTAGGGGGCTTTGAGGGCTCAGGTATTGACAACGATTATGCCTTGGACTGGTCTGGGTTTCTTGATTATTAGTCCTCTTTTCATCCCTCTCTTTTCCAGGAAGCTTGGGCAACCATGTACTCAGTTGTCTCTGGGGCTAAGAGCGAAGGAGGCACGTCTCCGTACTTTGAGGGGTGGAGGGTGTGAGACGGGAATGGAACGGAGAGATGGGATAGGCACCCTCTTTTCAGGATAGAGGCAGCACTCTCTGCTTGAGAAAGTCAGGTATAGCGCTCTGAGAGCTGTACCCTCTGAGACCCCTGTAGAAAGAAGGTGATGGGGCATTGGGGGGGGGGGTCCTCTGCAGATGGGCCTTAGCTTTCCCACAGCTGTTAGGGCTGCAGACTGCAGTGAGGTAGTTATGAGCATTCGCTGTATATCTGGGAGAAGAAAAATAGGCCTTAGATTACGCCTCATATCTAGGAAGAAAAAAATCAATGATTTCTGAGACCAGCGACAACCCCTTCAGGTGTCACTGTCTAAAGACTCATTAGTTAACTAATGGTCGGTAACCTAGCTATCTGCCTAAAAACCAGAGATCATTTAATGCTTTACTTTTTGAGAGGTGGGGGCTCTGCTTGAGTTAGGAGTTTCTAGGAGGGGTAAAATGCATGAGTGAACCTGCGTTAATGAATCCCGTAAGGAACTGCGTTTCCCAGGAAATTCCTGGCATTTTTAGCTCGTGAATATCCTAAACCCTGCTTGGTTTTCTCCTCCTTTCTGGGTCCTTCCAAAGAGGAAGAGTGGGCTAGGGGCTGAAGGCTCCGCAGGGCCTGGTTCATCTGCAGAGCTGGCCGGCAACCCAGGCTGGGCTCAGCCCCGAGCAGGGTTGCCCCCCTTCCCAAATCTTGGAAGGAGGAGGGGGAGGCAGGCGCGCAGTCTTGGTCCCAAAGGGGGCTGGTTGAAGGTTTGGGGGTGAGTGTGGTTTCTTTTTGGTTGTTGCTTGTGGGGGGAAGGGCAGAGCCCAAGGGAACAGGCATTGCGGGCACCCCGGTCCTGGTGCGGCTGCTTGCCATCCTCTGCTCAGCTCCCCCCCACCCCCACCCCCAGCCAGCGAGTGCGCCCGCCCGACAGTGCGGGGCTGCGGTTGGGGGGAGGGGGGAGCGGGATCATCTGAGGCCAGAGTCGCTGCGTTGGGAGGGGGAGCGGCTGGAGCGAGGGGAGGGACCGGCTAGGTGTCTGCTGCTCCGTGCCACTGCTGCCGGCGCCCCAGCCTCATCGCGGGCAGCCCCTTCTGCAGCTAAGGGTTACTGCCGCACCACCTCTCCTCTTCCTCACTCGCCTCTGCGGCCAGGGCTCTGCGGTAGGAGACAGCGTAGCCTGGCGGCGTGTGGGCCATTCTGGGTTTGGATCTGGGTCTTGTTGGGGCCGACAGGGAAGGGGGTGGCCGTGACTCGGTGTCCCTCTGTGCAGCGGGCTCTGCTCTGGTGCGCAGGCCCCTGTCCCCATATCTCTCTTTGGAGTCACTAGAAAGCAGAGCTCAGGCCCACTCCCTATGCTTAGTATGGCAGCCCTCTTCTCACCCCTAGCACCCCAACTCCCCGGGCCAAGGCCGCCCAGGGTCTGGCCAACAGCGACTGCCACAGTGGTGGTGGCAGCAGCTGCGACGCGGCGCGTCCTGCTCCCCCCCTTCCCAGCCAGGGGTGTGGGGTGAGGGCCAGCGGGTGGGCGCCGCCTGGCGGGCGGGCAGGCGGGCGGGGGGGCTGGCAGTGGGGAGGGGGCGCAGGTCACGTGCCGGGCGAGCGGGTGGGCGCGTACAGTAGGGCACCCTGCTACTGTACTGGGGAGCCTGTGCCCTGTTACCGGGTCTCGTCTGTCTCGTCTCTCCCGCAGATCTCGCGAGAGTGGCTGACTGGCTGTGGGGGTTGCGGCGGCAGCAGGCGGAGCCGGGGAGGGAAAGCAGCGGCGGCTGAGGCGACTGAGGCGGCGGCGGGCGGAGCGGCAGGCGGCGGCGAGGCGGCGAGGCGGCGGAGCGCAGCATCATGGCGGACCGAGACAGCGGCAGCGAGCAGGGTGGTGCGGCGCTGGGCTCGGGCGGCTCCCTGGGGCACCCGGGCTCAGGCTCGGGCTCCGGCGGGGGCGGTGGTGGCGGCGGGGGCGGCGGCGGCAGTGGCGGCGGCGGAGGGGCCCCGGGGGGGCTGCAGCATGAGACGCAGGAGCTGGCCTCCAAGCGGGTGGACATCCAGAACAAGCGCTTCTACCTGGACGTGAAGCAGAACGCCAAGGGCCGCTTCCTGAAGATCGCTGAGGTGGGCGCGGGCGGCAACAAGAGCCGCCTCACTCTCTCCATGTCAGTGGCCGTGGAGTTCCGCGACTACCTGGGCGACTTCATCGAGCACTACGCACAGCTGGGCCCTAGCCAGCCACCCGACCTGGCCCAGGCGCAGGACGAGCCGCGCCGGGCGCTCAAGAGTGAGTTCCTGGTGCGTGAGAACCGCAAGTACTACATGGATCTCAAGGAGAACCAGCGCGGCCGCTTCCTGCGCATCCGCCAGACGGTCAATCGGGGGCCCGGCCTGGGCTCCACGCAGGGCCAGACCATTGCGCTGCCCGCACAGGGGCTCATCGAGTTCCGTGACGCTCTGGCCAAGCTCATCGACGACTACGGAGTGGAGGAGGAGCCGGCCGAGCTGCCCGAGGGCACCTCCTTGACTGTGGACAACAAGCGCTTCTTCTTCGATGTGGGCTCCAACAAGTACGGTGTGTTTATGCGAGTGAGCGAGGTGAAGCCCACCTACCGCAACTCCATCACCGTGCCCTACAAGGTGTGGGCCAAGTTCGGACACACCTTCTGCAAATACTCGGAGGAGATGAAGAAGATTCAAGAGAAGCAGAGGGAAAAGCGAGCTGCTTGTGAGCAACTCCACCAGCAGCAGCAGCAACAACAGGAGGAGACCGCCGCTGCCACCCTGCTACTGCAGGGTGAGGAAGAAGGGGAAGAAGATTGATCAGACTTAATGGAAAAAAAAAACCCACACACATGCATACACACACAGCCACACACACAGAAAATATACTGTAAAGAAAGAGAGAAAATAAAAAGTTAAAAAAGTTAAAAAAAAAACTTAACTCCAAGGGAGCACCACCCACAGAACCTCCACCAACTGACAGTTTCTCTTCTTGACTTGCCACCCATCGCTGGATGTTGTCCACTTTATCCACCATATAAAACAGTAAGCAGCTGCTAAAACAAAAAACAAAAAATAGAAAAAGTAATAACATTATATGAACTGTGTTTCCTACTTGATTAAAAAATATAAAGAACTGAGTGTTTATTTCCCTAATTAACCAAGAACTTTTGTACACGTTTAAGCTATTATTATTAAAAGTGTTTGCAAAATGGTCAAGATTATAATATTGCTGAATTATATAAAAGTCCTTTTCATGTTGAGCTAACATTTGACTTTAGCACAAAAAAAAGAGATATTTTAGAACACGTAAAATAATATTTTTAGTTTTTCTCATTTTGTTACCAAATTTCAAACCTTACATGGAGGTTATTATAGTATATTTGACACCCTATATACCTGTGATTAGAGATGTGTATATATATGAGGGCTAGGCATGCCGTGTGTCTGAGCTTTGTCTAAATGTTATGCAGAAGTTTGTAGAGTTAAAGGTACGTAGGTTTAATTCATGCAAGGTAAAAAATAAGTGCTCTCTTTTATACAATATGCATTGCATCTGGACCTTAAACATATAAAAATGGTCAGTGAAACTTCTGTGAACATGAAGAAATTATTAAAAAAGGCATTTAAATGAAATTTGCTAAGTTGTGATTTTTACGGTTGGAACCAAAGTTATTCAAATAGCAAAAGGAAAAAGAAAGAGAGAAAAAGGAAATCTCCCATAATATTTTTCTGCATCTGTTTGCTTTGACTGAGTAGGCGTTTTGTCATTATTGTGTATATGAGATGTACTTGTATCGTTCATAATATATTTTTTTTATGTGTAGAAGGATTTTAAAAACTTAACCTACGTGCAGCAATTTCCAGTGAACCTGTACTTGGACATCAGGTAGTGAGTCTATTTGTGGTCACTAGCACTGTCTCCTAAACTTGTAAGAGGTCCGAAGCTATCCTTTGGTTTTCGCCAGTGCTATTAACTTATATAGACCTGTTAAAAGCAGAGCAACACAATTACAGTTATCCTACTGAGCCATGGATTCTGAGTTTCATTTTAAAAAAGAAAGTCAAGTTAAGTTGGTGTATGTAAAGGATTTCCATGTAGCTGTGGTGCTAGTTATTACTGGCTACATTATATGCTAAGTGTATTTGTGTTCCCCAAGTGTACAAGCCTTCTATCAAAAGTATGTTCTATAATTCATATATTCAAGGTGTTAGGGTATGAAAATGGAAAGCTTAGGAGAGCACTTTACCAAGCTGGTGTCCTCCAAACTGAAATTGTTTGTAATGATAGTCTTTTACAGGTTTTCATTTAAAAATGTTTGTGTGCTTTTAATTGACAACTAACTTCTTGCTGCTGTATAGTAAAATATTAATATATTTTTATCATTAAACTGCTGCATGACTATCATCTTTGAGTGAAGAGAAAATGTTATAAAAAAAGATGCCTTAAACAGTACAATTTGGTTTGGAATTCTGTAGAAAGTATTTTGGTTAAAAAAAAAAAGATCTTGTCTGCAGAGAGAGTTCTGGGGATGGAATTGTTTCTTGGCAAATCCAGACATATAGATCTAACTGCTGTATGTAGGAGACATCACCTGTAGGAGCTGGAAGGTGTCAGTGCTTCTCATATTGTAAAGCATTGGCCTAGGAAGGTGAAACAGTTGTCTTTTTGAAGGATTTTTTTTTCTGCTGGTTCTTTGGGTTTGATTTGATATTTTTAAGCTCCCTGGTTGAGTGTGTTGTCTTTGTTTTTTAGATCTACTGTATGTGTTGAATAACAAGCTATTTCCATTGTACTGTGCATTTTCCCATTAAATTGTTTGTTTTTAATACTCATACAATGTTAAATATGAGGTGACCGTACAATAGTTAGGAGTTTCTTTACAAAATCACTGGAAATGATTAAATTGCTTTCCCCCTTTCCCCAAGGTGCATTTTTCTTATTTCCATATAGTAAAGTTGAGCTTTTACAGTGCATAATGTGACATTTGGAATGCTTATCGACTGCATGTAAACATTAATAACCTGCACTTTTTTTGTCTTAAGATTTGTTGAGCTGTTTTGTTCACCGTACTTTAACTGTGATATGGAAAAGACTGCATTCTCTGTGCTGTTACTAGTTAGGAAAGAGAATTGCTTTGATTTTGTCTCTTGTTTACTATAGCTTCTTAAAGTTATGCCTTGTACTACAGGTTGTTGGAATACTCCTAGATCAGTGTTTCATAGTAGCCAGCAATAAGTAGTGCAGGTCAACAAAAACACAGCAAACTTAGGCAAAGTGTCCTTTCTTTGAGATGTGAGTTCTTTAATGAGGTTTTCTTTAGGGTCAGAGGTACCTAAAGTGAAGCCTTTCTTACCTATAGACTTCAGATTCTGCTTGGAATCCTACCGGATCAAGAAGCACATGTATTGTGCAATTGTCTTTACACTATAACAGTTAAACACAATCTTACTAAGATTTTGAAACCATTGTCTGATTTATGGTCAGTGGGTTTAAAAACAAATCCACATGCAGATCTTTTAAGACTTAAGAGATGATCATAGAAAAGACTAAAGTGACTGTAAAGATGCTCTTTTTTGCATCTCACTTTACCTCCCCAAGCACCCTCCCAAACCTTTTCCCTTCTCCCCTCTACTATTTCATCTTTTCCCCACCCTTCCCCCAGGTGCTCGGTACTTTACCAAGGTCTATATTTCAGTGTTTTATGTTGGAGTTTTTCCTTGTTTTTATTTTACTAGTTGGTAAACTCTGTGCTGAAACAAAAAAAGGAAATGGTTGGTATATTTGACCATATGTGTTATTCATAAAAGACAGTATGATCAAATGTGCCAAAAAACAAACAAACAAAACTTAATTCCCGACAAGTATGCCTTATTTTTAATGATCTGCTTTGTCTTACAATTAAGGTCCAAGAGCTTGGTTAAACTATTATTTGCCTAAGTATAAAGGAAAACTTGAAATGCATTGCAATATTGACATTCTTTAAAATGAGAGACACTGTCAAGTAATTTAATCTAGAGATCAGCCACCAGATTTAAAATGCCCATATGTGTGTGTGTGTGTTTGGTGTTGTTTGTTTTTCTTTTAAATCACCAAATCTTTTTTTAAGCTACTTTTTATTTGTGCCTCCTATTTATCATGCTGATGTTAGAAGCAGTAGTCATCCAGCCACAGAGGGAGCTAAAGTTAACTAACCAGAACTGTAGAAATCATTATACATGCCTTTGACAACAAAGGAAGTTTATAAGAAAAGCCATGTCGGCTTTTCCTCCACTAGATAAAGATTGGAGGTAAATGAATATTTGCCAAATGGAAAAAACAATAATACAAGTCAGGAAAGACAGACTTTTCCAGCTTCTCAAAAGCCATGGAGAGTAGAAACCAAAACAAACAGGGAAAATAAAAAACCTTGAAAGTCTCACTTTCTAGCTGTCCCATGCAGGGTTCGAAATTTGACTCAAAGTGGAAAATATATCAGTGTGTTTTGTAGGTCTTCATATCTACAGATGGATAACTATTCCAATTTGGTTTTTCAGGTAATGGAGAAAGCTGCTAGTAATTTTAACCCCTGCCTAAAGAAGACAGATAATTTCATTTGGGAGCAAATACTTATTGCCTTGAAAAATAGCACTGTAATAGCCTATGAAAATTAGTTGTAGAATAACTTTTATCCCTTTTAAACTATGCAAATTATTAAACAAGTGTAAATTAGGACTCAAAGATAGTTGATTATATTGCAATCAGATGGCATTCACAAACTTAACTGGAGCATATACAAATAAAATCTATTAGTCTAAGAGTTTTGTATGCTAACAGAAAAATATAATTTAGCTACCTATTCTAAAAATGGTGAATATTATTAATATTGTACAATAGGACTGGGAAGACTGCCTCCTTTTTTGAAGAGAGATTAAGGATTTTTATAATTGTTTTTCATCAAATTTTAATATTTTTGTCAAATTTTTAGGTATTTAATTTGTAAAACAGTTTGCTTTGTACTGGCATACAGAAAATAGGGTATTGATTTTAAACTTTTTGAAGCCAAGTGATCAAGTACATTTGTAATAAAAGTCAATGGATCTATATCAGTTGTACTCACTGTTTTCATTTCTTATTACTATAGGAATGCTGTACTTTTTCTGCAGGAAAACTGAACTAAATTTGGGTGGAAGGGAGGGGAAAAGATAAGTTTGTTGATAATGAGAATCTGGGTGGGTACTATGGCCCAAGCACTTCACGTAATTTTTAAGTCAGTCAAGATTTGGTATATTAAGAAAGATGCTTACATCAATGTTCTTGTTCTTGTTTTTTTATGGAAATTGATGTTTGTGGGGGTTATCTCATTCACTGTGTCTGTGCTTTAACATTTTCATTTGGCACTGTTGAAACTTTCTAAACACACTTTTAGGACATTTAGTTATCTGCCAGCCATGGTGGACCCTACCATGGGCATGATTATTTTTATCTCCCTCAGTGGTTCACCCTCTGTTCTTAATATTCCCATTAATTTTTTTATATATTACTTATACATACATTCCAGATGAGTTTAGAATGGAAATTTCTGAAATTGTTGCTCTGGTGGCTTTCATAGCTTCACAGTTCATTTTATTATACATGTGAACATATTTTTAGGATTTTCCCCCCCAAAAATAAGATACCAAATCTAATTACTTTTCCATTTTCAGAGTCTTCAATATCAGAATGAGATCCTGCTTTCTAATTAAAAGGTTGCTAAAACAAGGGAATTTTAGCTAAAAACCTAGATTTGAAACAATTGGTGATAACTCAATATAACATTTATTGTTGATTACCCCTAAATTTGAATACCTTAATAATTTGGAGCGATATATACTTCCACATGACGGTGGAATGAATAGAAAATAATTATTGGAGTTGCTTAAGTGAATAAATATACTGAAATTATTTGTGCAAAGTTGTTAAAGTTTACCTGTTTTTAAATCAGACATTGTAATATTTCTGGTCTTTTTCATTGCAAGTTAACTGAATAGAGGCCATTCATAATGAAGTACCCTATAAAACTAAAGTGACCACTGCGATTAAAATTATTGTTTAATACAATAACTGTATTATTGTATTAATTATACAATAATCACCTGACAGCATTAATTACTGTAGAGAATTTATAATATATTTTTAAGAGCATCTGACTTCAATGTTTGAAAATTTTTTGATCCTAAAACAAAACCTAAATTCAAGGCCTAAGTCATTTGACAGGCTCTTTTTGAACTTAAATCTAATTATTATGGGCTAAGTGAAAATCATTTAGATTGGCATTAATTAGCATGAGTCAAGTAGAATTTCTTGATGCAAGAACAACCAGATGAAAAGTGAAAGATGATTGGTTTCAAGCCAACAGTTTGTCATCTTTCAGCTGCTAAACTGATTGTCAAATTTTGATGTTGAATAGTCTAGGCAGTTTACATCTTTAGGAAAGTTTGTGGCAAAAGTCACCTGTTAAAAACATTTTTTTTTAAAAAGAATTTCATGGCTACTCATTTATTTTTATTTTGTCCCCATATTATGTTTGATATATATATATATATATATTTTTTTTTTTTTTTTTACCAATGTGCTTTGCTTTTGTGGAAAATTGTCTTGTTTGACAGGTGGAAACATGGTGGTGATACTCTATGTAAAATAAAATTACTTACTGATCAAAAGTATTTTATTCCTTTTAGAATTGCAAGATTTTTGCATTTTCATGAATACATTGTTTCAATGATTATTAATAATTTGCTTATTATATTTTTATAACATTCCATGGGAAAATTTTAAACTAAAAAGTTTAATTTATTTGATTTAGGGTGCACTTTAATAATTCAAGACGCCTCCAAGTTCAAGGACCAAATCTTTATGTTCTAGAATCTTGAGAAACATGGAAATACTCTTGTTAGCATGTGTTTTGGTCTAAACTGGATTAACGCAGAAGGATCCTAAGAGGACTTAAGATGTCCTTATTGTAAACTGGCAGTCAAACTAATGGGACAGGTGACTTATGTATTCACTTTGATTTAGTCCAACAGTAATGACCATCAGCTAATGAATTATTAGACATGTGTTGGGAATGGGTCAAACTCCCATTCACTTGGAGTGGGTTCACAGTTTTCTGTGCAGGTAGTTGGTGGCATGTGACCTACCTCCCTACAAAATACATTTGGCGTTTTCTCTCACCCATCTTCCTGTTTGTCTCTCCTTTATTATTCTTGCCATAGGCCTGCCAGCCGCACTAAAGCTTACCTCCTTGAGAAGGAAGTAGAGAAATTGCTGACTCCTACCTTAACAGCTAACTGACCCCAGAAACATTTTTGTATTATGAGGTAATCAGGCAGTTTTTATGACTGGTGTTTGCCCCGTAGTCTGAAGTTAGTAATTTGAAATATAGCAGTATTGTTCATTAAGAAATTTGTAAATTGAAGAGAGTAAGAAGTATGTATATTTTAGGTAAGTTACTGGGGGGGACTGAGACTTACTGGTTTGGAAATCTGAGAGCAGAAAAGGAGAGCCGTTTGATATGTTGGAGTATGGGAGTGTAAGAGGTATATAAGGGAAAGGTTTGGAGGAAAAGTGGGAGAAATTTTTATTGGAGATAGGAAAAGATACTAAGGTAGAGTCTTAAATAAGAGTTGTTGGCTAAGGGCAGTGAAGCTGATTTTTGTTAAGGAAGTTTCAATAAAGCTAGAGAAAATGGGTACCTTGTTGGTTGTGAGAAAGCTGTTGGCCTGTAACTAGATGTTATGATGATGATGCATTATACAAACGTGTTTTCACATGTAGGATTTTTTCTTTTCTGGACAAATTAAGTAGAATAATTGTGGAATGGCAACTTTTTTGGTCATGGCAAATTGGTACTGGGGACTTACTACTTTTAGAGAAGGTAAAATTTCAAACTCTTTTACAGTTATAATTTTTAAACTATGAGGAATATATATCATATGTAGTATTTGTTTTCCTGAGCTTATCTTTACTTTTCAAAATGGTCCTTAGATCAAAATCATCTGATTTTGCCATCCACAGAGATCTACAGTATATTTATTATGCCTTGCTTTTACAGAATCTTGAGCCTTTGGTTCACATGAATTTCTTAGAAGAGGACAACAAACCAGAAAAAATACTAAATTACAATATTAGGTATCTTTCCTATTCTACATTTGCATTCCTGAGAACCATTTAAAATTGTGAACCTTATGAGACCCTCAGAATACTACATTTCTGAAATTAGATAACCCCCTCCCAAACTCAAGTTTGTATTCTCACTTCTATTACTTTAAAATTGTAGAATTTCCAAGAGTTCAGTGGTGGAAGATATTAATAATATAATTTAATACATCTTGGGAGTTCTTATGCCCTTTGTTAGAGTGAATTGATTGTGTTTATATTTTCATTCCCAATATTCCCAAAACCTTTTAAGTTATTTAAGATAAAGAATTTCTATAATATTTGTTTTAAAGTGACATAATTCAAGTATATTTAGATTAACTCATGTTTTGACAGATTACTTTCAAATTTAATTTTACCCAAATCTGTGTACATTAGTGATAAAATCTCTTTACAGATAGCTAAATGAAGAATTTTGATTTTGTATTTGGAAGGTAATTTTTGTCAAGTTTATTAACATCAGAATTGTTTTTATAACATTTTGTAGAGTTGACAATATAATTTTCACAATTCATTATGTATCAGATTTGAAATTATAATAGTTACAAGTCAGTCCAGAGCCTTCTTAAATAGCCCCCACCCTTAGTAATTGTTTCAAAAGAAGTGAATTCCCAAATCCGTGTCAAGAACCAGTGATTTAAATGTCTCTGAAAGGCTTCTGTGAATCTAGCCAATGGAGATAAGTGATAGCCCATTTCCATGCTGCATAGTTGTTAGGGTTTATAAAATTGTCAATATGTAAAAGTGCAAAAACAGGAAAAACTCTGTAAAATTGCCTATAAATTTTCTAGTTTTCATTATTTGCACTATTTACCTTTGCACTTGATTTTTTGGAAGTTAAGACTAATCACTTTCACTTTTGTTTCTAGTCTTTCTGATTTCTTAGAGTTATGTTTTCAATATCCCACCCAAAGCAAGCTTATATGCAATTAAATATTCTTTATAAATCCAAGAATTTTTTAGTGTTAGCTATGTAGAAAAACTGTTCTGATGAAGTTTTTAATATGGGCCTTTATTTGCCAATAAAATCCTTTGTAAATGTGAGCTTTATTAAGCTATTTGAATAGACAAAGTGAAAGATTAGGATATATATATATATGAATGAATATATATATTCTTTGAGATATGTATGTGTGTGTGTGTGTATATATGTATATATGAATGAATATATATATTCTTTGAGATCCAGCTTCCAGCCTGAGATGGACTGGTTTTGGAGTGATTTGTTTTCACTCAAGTCAATGAGATTTGAGTCTAGCTGGCTGTTGGCTTAAAATCTGGAAGTGAAGTGGGTAGCAAGTGGCACTCTCTCTTTCATGTAGTTTTCCATAATGCTCATAGAGTTTTCTCATGATCTATGTGATATTACTGGTATAGAAAGAGTTATATTAAATGAATATTCCTTTTTGGAATTCAAGGTTGACTCATTTTTTGAGGGGGCGTGGCAAGGGATAAAAGACTTTATTTTAACTAGAGACATTCTTATAACCTCAAGATGTGCTCTAGAAAGAATAAGAGAACAAAAAATATACGTGTGAACATATTTTTTGTCTTAGTGAGATTGTGTAACAGGTTCAGAATTGCAAAAAAAAAAAAAGGTTGATGGTTTTGTCAATAGAACAGAAATGTTTTGGCTAAAATTATTTTTGTAAGTTATTTAATTGTTTCATTTTATATTCCCTTTCCCATAGCCTTTTAGGCACTTCATACTTAAACCCAGCAAGTGAGAGGCCTCTCTTTAGATCTGGTTTATTTTTGGAATGCCTGAGTGTGTTTCTGGTTTGGGAGGGGTGGGCAGGGGGTAGTGTTTTAATTCTTGACATGCTCTTCTCAGTATGTTTTGCTAGTTGTTCTGGATCTTATGTCAGTAAATTGTGTTAAATTCAGTGATGTATTTGAAATGAGAAAGTCC